AAGGGCGGGGGGATTCGAGAGGAGATTGGAGGAAGGTAGGGAAAGCGTAATTGCACAGACGTGCTTAAGAGATGTGAACGAAAGAGCAGAGAGGGAAAAAAACTATCAGGTTAGGAAACAAAATGAAGTCAGTTCTTTAAAAACAGAAGAATGAAGCCGCATGAATAGGAAAAACAAAGAAAGTTGGGAGGGATGGGTTTTGAAGAATTGGAGGAATGGGATAGGGTGAGGCAAATAAATAAAAGATAGGAAAGGATTAGGAATGGTAAATATAGTAAATGTGAAGGTAAAGAGAGAGGGAAAAGTTTCGGAGTTTTCAGAGAAGGAGTGGAAGAAAGTAGGTAGAGGAGGGTAGCAAGATTTAGAAAAGTTGGAAAATGAGATATAGGAAAATAGATATTGGATAGAGGAAAATAAAATAATGTGTAGACTATACAGAGGGGGGATGAAGACTTGTGGGAGAAATGCAGGAGTTAGACAGAGAGGGATGAGAAAGGGAGTTGGCAGGAGGAATATCGTAGAGTGCTGGTGGATGACGGGGAAAAGGAGAGATGGATGAGGAAGATAGAACAAGATTAAAGATCGAATGAGAGAGAGGGAAGAAGAGTGGGAGAGAAAGATAGAGGGGTGAAGAGAAAGAGAGAGAAGGTGGGGAGAGGGTGAGGTAAAGAGGATTTTTTTGTAATTATATGAAATTTGTAACAATCGTGGATAGCGCGCGCGAAGCGCGCGCTGCGTGCTAGTCCTATCTAAAAAAAGGCATGTTAAATCGATAGTGAAATATATCGAAGTTTCTCGAAAGTCTCGAAGTTTATTGTTGACTTTTTTCCGTGACGCTGATTGGTTCACTTGCTGTGCAAACTTCGTGAGCGGCAAAATTACATTTTGCTGTCATCGTGGAGATTTTGTACGTTAAATGTACATTATTATAACATCATATAATAATTTTAATGTTGCCGCTTTTCCGCGATGCTGGTTGTCTTGCTGTGCTAACTTCGTGAGCAATTGTCATGGCGAAAATTTTATACTAAGGTTATTGTATGTACTAAGATTATTTATTTAATGTTGTGTCATTATTTATTTAGTGTTGTGATAATCACATCAGCGCTTTATGTAGTGTCTGGTGACTCTTTTCCGCGACAATGATTGGTCGCTGATTTCTCTGACAAGCGCCTGTCATCGCCAAGATTATCTATTCCTGTCGTCTTAGATTGTGAGGGGTTAATCACAGTGTAATTTCTATTTTTAGGTTTATATGGATGTTAAATAAGTTCCTATACAAGTTTTATTACATGGATGTGCAATCCTGACTTATTGTTAGATGAAATCCTGATTTCGATATTCTTATTCTACAAAGCTGATTCTACAAAGATGATTCTTGATGTAAAATAGAAGATTATCATTTCAAGATTCTTGTGAAAAAACATATCGAAGCAAGATTCTGCAAAGTGAACGTTAAGAGATATCCTTTTCTAAAATAAACTTGAGTGGCATACTTAAATTTTTTAATAATATTTATTTGTACATTACAAAACGGTTATGAACAAAATTTACCTACAATTGCATTTATTGTGAAAACTAAGGATTGCATCGTTGATTTTAATGTGCATCCTCGAGACTTCTATATGAGAGATTTCTTTTTACGTCTGCTGCCAACCGAAGGTTGTTAGAAATTTGCTTCTTAAGAAATTATATGCGCGCCTTCGAGTCTTCTAAGTGAGATATTTCTTTTTTTTAATTTGTATTTGCTTTTTACGAAATTATATGCGCGCCAACAAGGCTTCTAAGTCAGAGATTTCTGTTTTAGAAATTTGTATTTGCTTTTTACGAAATTATATGCGCGCCCAGGAGACTTCTAATTGAGACATTTCTTTTTTTGAAATTTGTATTTGCTCTTTACGAAATTATGTGTCTTTGAGTTTTTTAGAGTTTCTTTTTTAGAAATTTGTACTTGCTTTTTATGAAATTATGGTATCAATGCGTGCCCACGTGATTTCTAAATGAGTGATTTCTTTTTTAAAAATATTTGTTGCTTTTTATAAAATTATATGTAAGTCCTCATTTGTCTTCTAAGCCTGTTAAAGAACTAAGCATTGTTAAAGAACTGAGTATGAATTTCCGTTGCGCACAATTTTTTTTACAGCCAACACGATCAGTTTAATCTTTTTGCGGCCAACACGATTTGTTTTATTTAACTCTTTTTCTTTTGTCTCATGTGCCGCAATTGTATTTTTTCTTGAGCATTCGTTTATTATTTATTAAGATATCGATCTCTGTACATGCGTGCCGTCTCAGTTAAAATAAAAAACCTTCAAGCTTTGTCAATCACCAGTCCATTGCCGAAGTTATTTCCAAATAAAGAGGAAGTTATTTTCTTCGACCACGGCTTCTTGAAGCAAGAGTTTCCGAGACGCAAGCGTGGAACGGCGTATGCCGACAATACAATAACATAATTTTGGTCCTTCGAGCCAGATACATCATATCCGCACCTTCGGCAGTAGCGACTGGCATTTCAGCGAGGTCAATTTACTAAGACGGTCAATCGTTCTTACGAGCATCACTATCCATCTATTCAGAGCTTTCTATGCTCTTTGCCTACTAAGGGGAACCCATATTTGCACGAGATTGAGATTTTGTGCTCAAGAAATCAAGCAGCTACATTTCTTCGAGCCCAAAAAGTCCAATCTGCAACAGCATCTAAAAATTCAGCAATCGACATTCACGACAGCGTTTGAGTGCAATCAGCGGCGTTCGAGCGACGACACGACATTTACGGCGGCGTTCGAGCGACGACACGACATTCACAGCGGCGTTTGAGCGACGACATTCAAGTGACAGAGTTCAGCCTACTTCGTGGAAGCAACCTTGTGGCCATTCAGCTAGATTTCTTCACCGGAGTCATCCGTTCCAGCAGAATTCATCCGACCTACTCATCCGACCTACGATTGCGTTTTATTTTGTTTAGCATAAGTACACCCGATACATATCAGGTAAGGGTTATTGTTTCGGTGGTTATTGCCAACCAGGTCATTTTTTTGCGATCTTCGTGTGTTAATTTCATTACTGTAATGTATGCGGGGAGGCGAGGAGCATGAGTGCATGCGCGCGCGTGTGTGGATGTGTGTGTGTGTGCGTGTAGGCAAGAGCGTGAACAGTGCGTGATTTGCGGAGCACGGACGTTGGTGTGAGCTGTCTCAGCATGAGTGTAAATTGAGGCCCCGAATAAACCACTTCACTCTATCTAGCATTCCGAATCATTGGTAAGTCACCACAATTACCATGGCCACCGACGATGCCGCAACGCTAAAAAAATAACGCGGAATAATTAAAGGTTTGTGCACACGAATTAAAAACTATGTAGATTCCGTAGTCAGTATTAATCCATCTATAACCGCTCAACTTGAGGAACGCAAATTAAGATTAGACCAATATTGGTCAGACTATAATTTAATACAATCTCGATTAGAAATAATTGATGATGCTGAAGCCAACGATCGCGTCGTGTCCGAGGAGGCATTTTTTGCTCTATCCTCTAAAATCAGAGAATGGTTAAATCCTCCATTACTATCATGTAATTCCAGTGGATTTTCACCATCTACTTCAAGCTCACACGAAACTTCTGAATCGTCAACGCATGTTCGCCTTCCTAAAATAAATCTTCCTTTGTTCTCAGGCAAATACGATGAGTGGTTTCCATTTCATGACACTTTTCATTCGATTATTCACTCTAATGCTTTTCTTAACAATATTCAAAAATTTTAATATTTAAAGGGGTCTCTCACAGAAAATACGAGTGATATTGTTGCTTCAATAGAGCTTTCTGACACTAATTACGAGGTCGCATGGTCTTTACTCAAGGAGCAATTCGACAACAAGCGAATTATCGTGCAGAATCATATCAAAGCAATAATGGAATTGCCATCCATGACTAAGGAAAGTTACATCGAACTAAGAAAAATCGCGGACGGTGCTACGAAACATTTACATGCTCCTTAAGCGTTGAAACGTCCGACCGCGCATTGGGACTATCTACTTATACATACTTTAAGCTTGAAGTTTGATACGCTTACTCTCCGTGAATGGCAATCTTCTCTAACTGATTCCGAATTACCTACTCTTAAACAATTTTTTGATTTTATTAAGCATCATTGCGAAACACTCAAAGTTACTTGCCGCTCGAATGTCACTTTTACTAAAAACAACAGCACACGATCTCAGTCGAAACTTAAGCAACATCTTCTTGTGTTGCCACTTGTTACACCGTGGCAGGAGTGTAACGTGGAAAGGACTCATAGTGGTGGATGTTGAAGTAATGCACAGTTATATCGTTTAACACACTGACTATATTTTACGTGCTACTTACAAGTTGATCACTGCGCGTGCCGAAAGCGTAACGTTATGCGTTAATGCTTAGAAGTGAACTCCCGCAGTGGTCCGCTGGACGGCGGGTTTTATCCCGTCTCAAGTGGGCCACTGCACTGCTCAGCAGTTGCAATTATTGCTTAATTGCGACTGCCGCAGTTTTTGGAGGACGCGTATTGAGGTTGCCGAAGTCCTGCGTCGGCGTCCTCAATTAGTATGGGTCACCGTTGCAATATTAGATTGCAACAGTGACCTGCTTATCACTAAGTGTGACATTGTAAGTAACGCACAGCGAGACTTACAACATAATAAACGAAAGTGGGTTAATCTTGAAACTAAGTAAATGTAAATTCTTTTACAAAAATATCGATTTCTTAGGATTTGAAATTAGCGGGAATGAAATTCAAAAAGGGGCGCTAAAGACGAATGCTGTTTCAAAATTTCCTGTCCCTAGAAACGTACATGAAATTAGACAATTTATCGGACTTGCAAGTTTTTATAAGCAATTTGTAGAAAACTTTGCATCAATAGCGCGACCACTTACTGATTTACTAAAAAACACATCAGAATGGAAATGGACAAACGAATAGACAGAAGCTTTCAACCAATTAAAAGAAAAATTAATTGAACGACCGGTAATGGCATTATACGAAACGAAACGGGAAACGGAATTGCATACAGATGCATCAAAAGTAGGAATTGCGGGCATTTTGATGCAACGAAATGACGAGGGAGCACTAAAACCAGTCGCGTATTATAGCCGAAAAACAACTACAGACAAACAAAAATGGCATTCATACGATTTAGAAACCCTTGCGGTAATTGAGGCCCTACGCCGTTTCCGCGTTTATCTCTTAGGCCTAAAATTCAAGATAATTACAGATTGCAATGCACTGCGAACCGTGTTAACCAAGCGTGACTTAGTGCCGCGAATCGCACGATGGTGGATTCGGTTGCAAGAATACGATTGCGAAATTGAATATAGACCGGGCACACGTATGGCGCACGTAGATGCACTGAGTCGCAACCTAGTTATTGAATTAAACGCGAATATAGACGAATGCGCGTTAGATGTATTACAAATAGATGTAACGAATTGGATAGCTACTGTTCAGAGTGCAGACGAAGAAATCGGAAAAATTAAGGAGATATTAGAGCATAAAGAAGTAGGGCATATGATAGACGTGCATAAGAATTATAAAATAAAAGGTGGCCACGTATATAGACAAGTTAATGGTGAAATAAAATAGGTAGTGCCAAAAGGGGTTCGATGGCAAATAATAAGAATGAATCACGATAATGCAGGGCACTTTGGTTTTGAAAAAACACTATCGCGTATTCGGGAGTCGTTCTGGTTTCCAAGAATGCGCCGATTTGTAAAAAAATATGTTTCGCGTGTTTAGAATGCGCGCATCATAAGGCACCTGGAGGCCCGAAGGAGGGTTTCCTTCATGCAATACCAAAGGTCAATGTGCCTTTTCATACTTTACATGCTGACCGCCTGGGCCCATTTGTTCGCAGTAAAAGAGGGAATACTTATCTGTTAATAATTATTGACGCATTCACAAAATATATTAATGTTAAGGCAGTTCGAGATACTAAAACTATGACAGCAATTAGGGTCTTTAAAGAGCATTTTGGTTATTTTGGGACACCAACTCGTATTATTACATAGTAGTAGAGGAACATGTATTACGAGTTCCAAATTTAAAGCTTTTATACAGGAATATAAAATAAATCATGTATTAAATGCAGTTGCCACTCCCAGGGCGAACGGGTAGGTAGAATGTTTTAACCGAACTATCGTTAATGCCCTTGGCGCCCGCAGCCATGGCGAAAAAGATTGTACATGGGACGAGTATGTGGGTGGGATACAGTTAGCTATAAATACCACAACGAATGAGACAACAGGAAAAAGCTCCTCAGAATTATTGTTCGGATGTAAATTAATAAATGCTTCTGAAAATATAATTAGCGATGTGATTTATGCAACAAAACATCGTGTCAGTAGTGATGATCTAGCGAAAATGAGGACCGAAGCTAACGAAAGAATACAACGACAACAAAATATTGCAGAAAAGAGATTTAACAAACAAAGAAGGGCACCGACGCCCTATAAAGTAGGGGACTTAGTGAGAATCGAAAGAACTCCAACAGATCAGGCAATGTTAGGCCAACCAAAAAAACTAGTAGCCAGGTTCCAAGGTCCTTATCGTATTACAAAGATCTTACCAAACGATAGATTTTTGGTTGAAGATACACCGATAACTCGTAGAGGAAACAAACGATATGAAAATGTAGTAGCAATCGATAAATTACACCCATGGCTTAATTTTAATGATTCAGCGAGCGATGATAGCAACAGCGAATACAACCAAGAAAATGGAAAGGAAAGTGAACAGAGTATGATTAACCGTTATTAGTTTAGATCGAGAATGTAGAGTTTAAGAAACCTTACTTATAAAAGCATGTTATAAATAATTAGTACTTAAGATAAATGATATTACCAGATACTGCGCAAATGATTACAGACCGTAACAAAGCATGTATAATTAGTGTAAGCACACGATCTTAAATGTAACTTGGTGAGTTATAGGCGACTAACGTTAAGTATCAATGATGTCAATGGACATCACGTAGATAGTCGCAGACTATAACAGATCATACAAGACTTATTGAAATTTTACAGATTTGTGCAAGTTATGAGCGACTAGCGTGTACACTACGTAGATATTTGTAGATCATAACAGATTGCAGGAAATTACAAGTTTTGATAGATTTGTGTGAGTTATGAGTGATTAGTACAAAATGTAGATATGAGCGATAGACTTTGCACAGATAATTATAGATCATTACAGATCACATAAAATTGTCATAAATTAGACTGACATATAGATAAACCATGTAACGCAAGCAATTAGTGTGGAATGCAAGTAAGCAATAGATATTAGACACCACATAGATAATCGTAGATTGCGACTAACTATATAAGACTACAAATTATGGTAATCAGTGTGAGGTCGAAATATCGCACAAAAGTTACAGGGTCTAATAGGTAAAATACTCTTCTGTCCCAATTTCTGAGTGAAGGGACTCATAACAGAATGGCCGAATGTAAAGTAGCCGGTCTTGTATTGGCGCGCATTGGCGCGCCTATCGAATGATGTAACGAATAACGACGTATGCATAAAAGGGACGAGTCTAGGTCTAGGTGGCGTGAGTAAGCATGGTCGGCGGATAGACAAGGAACGGAGAGAGAACTCGATAGACGGTGAAGCTGTAAGGACGTGTGGTTTTAAGAGTATAGACTAGCCATTGCGTGAACAATAGAGTTGATATTGTAATAACATAAGACGTTTGAGCGAGATTATTATACTTCTAACGTGATAAAGATAGTGAGAAAGGACACCTGAGTCAGTTAATTACCCTGACCGTAACAATTAAAATATCGATCTCTGTACATGCGTGCCGTCTCAGTTAAAATAAAGAATCTTCAAGCTTTGTCAATTACTAGTCCGTTGCCGAAGTTATTTCCAAATAAAGAAAAAGTGATTTCCCTCGACCACGGCTTCTTGAAGCAAGAGTTTCCGAGACGCAAGCGTGGAACGGCGTATGCCGACAATACAATAACAAACTCAGAGATTTCTTTTTAAGAAATTTGTATTTGCTTTTTACGAAATTA